CATATATCTGAATGCAATGAATCTAGATCTGAATGCTATTGCTAAAGCACTGAATTCTCTGAAAAAGAGATTCTCTGAGTGAAAATCTTAATATTATGAGTATTAAGCTTGCTTCAACTGCAGATGTCAAAATCATGATGTAAAAGATTACACTCAGCATGCACAGTTAAAAAACTAGCAGAATCAGTGAGCTTGAAGACACTTACTGATATTCTATGAAAAGCCTTCAAAGTGAAAGAGATGTCTGTGTTAGATGACTCTCTGAATTCTGTGAATGCAAAGAAGAAGCAGACTTCTGAATAAAGTATGAATGAGAATGATGAAGTGAACACTCATCTCAATATCTTGAGACCTGAAATGTTAATGTATAGAGAGTACTTGAGTAAGAATTGAGAGATGGCTATAAAAGTGTTAGCAGACACAGAAGCTTCTACACAATATATTGATAATTATATAATTCAAAGATTGAAAGAGATCTGCTGAGTGAAGAATCTCTGATGTATAAGATTATCTGATAACTGATATTTGATATCACCTGTAAGAGTAAGAGTTCTCTTGCACTTCAGAGAATAATCTTGCTATATTTAAGCACAAGAGCTGCAGAACATGAAATATGACCTTATTCTCAGACTTGATTGATTTTAAAGGTTTAACTCACAGATTCAATGATGTACATGTCATATGCAGTTGACTGATAGAAAGAAAATGATTCATACAATTTTATTAACTGATATAAGAAGAACATTTCACATCTCTGATATAGAAGAATTAAATCTGCTTATACATTAACAAGCAAAGAGAACACATCTGAAAGCATTCTATATGTTATACAGAACTCAGAAGTGAAGAAAACTAAGATAAAGAATATGTGAGAGAATAAGTGTATGAAGAAGCTTCTGAAGAAGTATGAAAAGGTCTTTCAAACAGATCTTTCACTGAAATTGTCACCAGATTGAGGATTCATACATGAGATTGACACAGAGAATGCAAAATCAGTCAATCAGAATGCATATCCTCTGTCACAAACACATCTTAAAGAACAGAAGTGTCAGATCACAGACCTTTTAGAATATGATCTCATACAACTTGTATCAAGCATGTGAGGCTTTTCAGTTCTATTCATGAAAAAGATGAGTGAAGAGTGACAGATGTGTATCAATTATCAAGCACTTAATAAGCTTATAATCAAGAATAAATATTCACTATTATGAATTCAATAATAGTTGAATACAGTTGAAAACATCTGATATCTATCAAAGATTAATCTTCTCTCAGAATACTGGCAGATCTGTGTAGACAAACTGTCAGTTCTGCAAACTATGTTTAATACACAATGAGAAAAGTTTGAATTTCTGATAATATTATTCAGTCTGACAAATGTGTCTGTCATCTTTTAAATGATGATGAATACAATTCTTTATAAACAGAATGAAATCTCATATCTCATATATCTTAATAATATTCTAGTCTTTTCAAACTTATATAATGAATATCTGAAGCATCTCAATGAAGTGCTTACAACTCTGACAGAGTATAAGCTCTATATCAAATCAATCAAGTGTGTGTTTGAAATGAAAGAGTTGAAGTTTATAGAACATGTAGTGAGTGATGACTATATACATCTCATTTCAGAGAAATTGAGTGTCATAGTGAATTGATCACAGCTGAGAAATATACATCATGTATAACAGTTTCTTAAGTTGATCTCATACTACTGTAGATTTATTAAGGATTTTACATGAATATCTGTATCACTCTCAGATCTCTTAAGAGAAACAGATGTGAATCTGTGAAAGAAGAAGTTTCATTCAATCATCTGAAATACTGTGTGTGAAGAGGCTTTTCTCACACTGAGAGAACATGTAACAATATTCTCAGTGCTTATTTAATCAGATTGTGATAAACCTTTCTACATTGAGATAAATACATTTGAATGAGCTATTAAAGACACTCTTCTACAGATGAGCAAGAACAGCAAGCTGCACTCAGTGACATACAATGATAGAAAACTATCAAGTACTGAGCTCAATTACTCAGTGTATGAAAAGGAATTACTAGTGATCAAGCACACACTGACATTGTGAGATAGATATATTAACAATGAGTATATAACAACAGTGATCACAGATTATGAAAGTCTCATCTATCTACAATCAATGACAAAACCTTTCAAATGCTTAGTATGTTGAATCTCAGAGTTTCAAGTATACAATCTTCATATCAAATATCAGAAGAGATCAGACACAGTGATGTCAGATATAATCAGTTACAGACTCAATTTCATGAATAAGAGTTCTGTGAATCAGATATAAGAGATGTTCACATTAAACATACTGAGAGAATGCAAGGAATCAGAATGAGTGAACATTATAATCTCTTACTTAAAGAATAGCAAGATGTCAGATGATAAGTGTCTTGTAAAAGTAGTAGAAGAGATGCTTTCAAACTTCAAGCTGAGAAAATTAAAAAATGACATTGTGTTTTACTGTAATCTAGAATACACAGAAGCTCCCTATCTAGAATCTTCATTTAGATGTGACTTGATGACTCATATGCACAAGGAATTCAGTCACTTAGAAAGCTCTGAACTCATGAGTATACTCAAATCAAGAGTATACTAGTTCAGCATGGCTGAGAACATCCAGATGTACACTTACAAGTGTCTGAATTGCCAGGTTGTGAAAGAATCTAAGAAAGGATTGAAATGCAAGAAAGTGTAATATCAGATGAAATGTATGATACAACTGTTCAAACAATGAGAGATGAATCTCATAGACATATTATCATAAACATTAAATGAAAATCAATGAATAATCACTGCTATTGATTATGCTACTGGCTGGCCAGTTATGAAAGCAGTTTCAGAGATGATAGAGAAGGTGATGATGAAGTTTCTACATGATGAGATCTATGTCAACTATGAAATGCTGCATGAGATTCTAACTGATAATGATGTGAATCTCATAGAAGGAGCAGTGAGGCATTTCATGAGCCAGTTACAGACAAGACATTGTAGAACAACATCATATCATTCATGAATGAATGAGAAGATGAAATGCTTAAATGAAATCTTGAGCAACATGCTGATGAAATATCTAGTGAACAAGTCTATGAGATTATGAGATGAATATCTCAGTCAGACACTATTAGTCACACGAATCCAGCAGCATGCAGTCATCAAGTATTCATCATTCTACCTGTTGTATGAATTGCATCCGCGCATCCCGGAGAATGCTTTAAAAAAGGTGAGGAAGAGAACAGCAGTTGCAGACACAGCAGAAACAGCAGTTGCAGATGCAACAGTTGTGAATGTGAAATCAAGATTGAAAGAGATCAGCCACACACATGCAAAAGCTAATAAGTTACTCCTGAACTGAGTAATTTAATTGAAAAGAATACAAGACTCACTTATTAAGAAATCAAGTCTCAAGATGAAAATATGAGTTCTTGTATACAATGAGAGTTCTGAGAAGTTTCAATCTAGATGATTTGAGTCATATAAAATACTCAAATCACATTCTCTGAAAATGTACACATTGAAAGAATCAGAGAGACAGATCTTATACAATTTAATCAATGATTTATGACTTGTGAAAGCAAAGATACAAGATCTGAGTGAATTATAATTATCTACAGCACTATTATCAGTATTGAAAAAGAAAAGACTTACAATTGAAAAGTCTTATGAAGTAAGAGAAATCATAGATGCTTATAAATCAGATAATCTTACTTATTCTGATCTTTTCATGATTATAAGAAAAGAATGAAAAGTAATGAAGAAATCAGATGAACATCATACTTCAATAAGTGATGAGACTGTAGCTGGTTGTATGATAACATATCACAGATAGCAGACATAATACAGTAAAAAGTGATCTCAGAGCAGCAGACTTGCATATGAGTCAGATTGCAGAAGAAAAAGAAATTCAGAGTTAAATTCAACTGTTTACATCAGTTCAATCACAGAGATTACAGAGAATGAACTATCTGAAATATCTGCAGATGCATGAGATCAAGTCATCTCAATCTCTGAGAATACTCAGAGATCAGATGAGATTAGTTTCAATGAGCTGTTTACTATAGTGATCTGAGCAGGTGAAGAGAGACAGTATAATACATGAGACAGAATTATAAAAAGTTGAAAGCTGCTGAATCTAGTCACTGAACACTGTATTATATAGAGATTATATAAGAGTAGTGACTAGTAGATAGAGAAAAAGTGTAAGAAAAGAGATGATGAATTGATCATTAACTGTAAGAGTCAGCTGTAAAAGACAAATATTATCATATATATCTCATTCATTTTTATATGTCACACATTTAATCTATTTCCAACACCACATCATCTGAAAAACATCAAAAACAAAGGAAATCTCAAAACTTGAGATCTGTAAGAAATTTGAGAGTCATAAGCTGCTCTTGTAATAACACTGTACATATCTCTGATTTCTCTATCACTCTGTATACAACATTAATGTCATTTATCACAAGATTGACTGAAATGCCAATATAAAAATGTGCATGCATATGTGTAGAGAAATTGAAGAAGAGTGCAGGACTCACAGAACTAGAAGTCAGAGCAGGAGAAACAGAGACAGAAGAAACAGAAGAAGAAGAAGATACAGAACTGAACAAATTACAGAAGTCACTCAGAGCTGAACACTTATAATCTGATATATGCACAACCTTTCTCACAGAGAAGGGAGAAGAAGTGATGAGAGAAGCTTGAGAGTGAGAGAGAATAGTCTCAGCAGTGTTGTCATCTTTGATTAAAATGATCTCTGATGCTGAAGCAACTAAGAACTATTATTAGTATATGAAATTACAAAAACAGAGATAATAATTACTGAATGAACATCTGCTGATCTTAGAATTGTATGTGTAATTACAACACACATGAGACTTCTCAGAAAGAGAGAGAAGAACACAGAGAAATACAGAAAGCAGAACACAGTATATGAACAGCTCATTCTTACAATGATATCTCAGACAAGATATACAAGCCTCACACTCACAGGTGTAAAAGAGTATGATATTCATATTTCTGTTTCTGAAAACACAGATATCTTTCACCTGTATCACAAAGTTGAATGACAGATATCAGAGAATAGACTGATATGAATCTATTATTCTGAAGAAATTCATCAGAGTGAATATCTCTGTAATATTGAACTTTACAGTTATGAAAAGTTTCTTAATATCTGTGAATATTATAACTTTGTGCACAGTAAAACTTATAATAATTTTCTCTAAGAACAGAAAAATTAGTATCAGAAAGAAAAGATAAAAAGAAAAAGACTTACAAACTTAACACTGTTGAGAAGAAGAGTGATTCTCTGATATAAATGAATAATTCTCTCACTATGAATATTTAAAATGAATATAATAATTGGCATCTGTGACTGAGCTTTAGATAGTCATGTTATACACAGTCTTTGTATAATAAATCATTCTGAGAGTTAGTAAGAAGAGTGAGAGTATACATACTGAAAGAGATGATTCATTAAGTCTATACAATATCTTCTTGAAATGAGAAGAGCTGGTAACAAAAGCAGAGACAGTAAAACCAGAAGTTGCAGGAGTGAGAGTTGCGGGAACAGGGGTAGTGAGAGAGGAATCAGACACAGAAGCAGATGTAGAAGATTGAGAGAGAGCAGCAGAGAAAGAAACAGAGAAGACAGAGAGAGATGTGAGAGACTCAGTCACACATGATATAGATAATTTCTTCATTATCATGTTCTTCAAGTTCTCAATCAAGAATGTAACATCAGGTTCATTATCATTAGCAGATGTGAATCTGTCAACATGTGAAGATTCTATGTAAATAAAAACAAATATATCAGCATCTGTGTCTATGCAAAATCATGTCAGAAAACACAATCAGAAACCTGCTGAGAAGAGAAATAATTGAAAGTGTATAAGAAGATAAAGAGAGTGTATAAGAAGATGAAGAAGATGTATCATCATTCATGATAATATGTTGTTCTGACAATTATTAGAAGATAAACAAGTTCTGATCATGTTTCACAATGCATTACACTTACTGCTAATGAACTGCCTGGTATGAGTACTATAATAATACTTATTATAGAAATGAGAGATCATTGTCAGAAATGTGTACAATGTGATAGATGAACAGATAGAAAGAGTTGAACAGAAGAAGAGATAGAAATCTTGAATGATAATAGCATTCAATGATGATGAAATGAAAAAGATGATTGAAGAATGAGAAAAGTTAGTGAATGAGTGATATAATATAGTGAAAGTTTCTTTGTGAGAGTGTACACAGAATGCTAGCTGAATCAGGAATAGATCACATAATCATGAAATGCTAGTGGTGAGCTAATCGCATGAAGCTA